TTTCCAGTTTTCCCAGCACCATTTATTGAAGAGGCTTTCCTTTCTCCACTATGTTTTTGGCTTCTTTGTCAATAATTATTTGCTCATATAAATATGGGTTTACTTTTGAACTCTTGATTCTGTTCCACTGTCTGTTTTGCTGCCAATACTATGCTGTTTTGATTACTGTTGCTTTGTAGTATAATTTGAAGTCAGGCAGACTTGCCTCCAGCCTCGTTTTTTTTTGTTGTTGTTTTTTTTTGTTTTTCCCTCAGGTTGGCTTTGGCAATTTGAGGTCTTTTGTGCTTCCACACAAATCTGATGATGTTTTGTTCTATTTCTTTAAAAAAAGCCAATGGGATTTTGATGGGGATTGCATTAAATCTGTATAATATTTTAGGTAATAAGGTCATTTTAACTATGTCGATTCTTCCAATCCAAGAACACAAAATATCTTTCCATTTCTTTGTATCTTCTTTGATTTCTTTTAATAGGGTCTTATAGTTTTCACATGTTTCATTAGATTTATTCCTAGGTATTTTATTCGTTTTGCTGCATTTGCAAAAGGGATTATTTTTTTCCCATTTCCGTCTCTGACAATTCATTGTTAGAGTATAGGAACGCTATGGATTTTTGAACATTGTTTTTTGTATCCAGAAACTTTATTGTATTTGCTTGTTGTTCCTAGTAGTGTTCTTGTGGAGTCTTCAGGGTTTTCTATGCAGTGAATCATGTCATCCGCATATAGTGACGGTTTGACTTCTTCGTTTCTTATTTATATGCCTTTCATATCTTTCATATCTCTTGTCTGACTGCACTCGCTAGGACGTCCAATGTTATATTGAATAACAGTGGCTATATGGGACAACCTAGTCTTTTTCCTGATCTTAGAGGGAAGGTTTTTAGTTTCTCACCATTATGTATAATGTTGCCTAAGGGTTTGTTGTATATGGCCTTTATTAAGTTAAGGTATTTTCCTTCTATACCGATTTTGTTAAGTGTTTCGATCATAAATGGGTGCTGTATCTTGTCGAAGGCCTTTTCTGCATTTATTGATATAATCGTATGATTCTTATTTTTTAATTGGTTTATGTGGCGTATCACATTAATTGATTTGCATACGTTAAACTATCCCTGTGCCTCTGGGATGAAGCCCACTTATCGTGGTGTATAATCTTTTTATATGTTGCTATATT